ATCCCTTGAATTTCTGGTTCACAGAAGTAAAATATATTCCCACATTTTACTTGGGTGTCTAATCGACCCATAACCAATTAGTGTCGACTCCAAAAGGTAAGATTAATTACATGATGGATTGGGTACCAAGTTGCGGTCATATGAGCTTGGGAGAGTTCGCACTAAACTCGAACGATTGCCTCGCGAGAGGAACTTTCCTTCATGTTTAGTAAGTCCGTTAGCCTTCCCCCTTGGTGGTTCACCTTCGAGAAGGTCGCGACATTCGCGAAAAAATAAATAATTTGAAAAATATTTTCCAAAAAATGATCGCTTGAGATAATTAGTTAATTAAAAATGTTTTCATCATCTCCAAACGCTTTCATGGATGATGGAAATATTTTCTGTTCATTCATTTTTGTAAATAATACAAGCGATCATTTTTAGGAAAATGATTCCTAAATCATTCATTTTTCTCAAAATAAATACACCCTTAGGTAAATGCATTAAATCTGTGTTGATTTAAGGATTAGAAGTTGGCATATAGCATATAAAGTCTCGATTTTTTTTTTATAAAATAAAGAGCGGAGGTTACCATAGACCTACCACCCAAATAGAAAAAAGAATTTCTTCATTCTGCATTTTTGGGCTCTGGAATTGTGGATTTAATTTGTAGTGGTAATGGGCCGTGCAAGTCACTCGCGTTCATTGGGCCCATGAGATATCTGTTGGGCACACTCCTAGTCCCACTCTAATTGATCCAAGAACGTGGCCCATTGGCGTGTGTCCAATTCAGGACCAACGTTCAACCTTTTCTTTCGACTCGACTCGACTTGAATACGCAAGACTCAACGCTTTGATCGAACGATACTCAACCAAAGCATGATTTTCAAGCTTGAGTTCGAGCTCGAAACCTGCCAAAACGCGGTCGATTAACAGTTTCCACTTTATTTCTATAGGTCCGGCACACGTCATCCGTTTGATCGTGTGGTCCCCCACGCGGGGATCCGCGGATCTCGTGACCGGGCCAACCGATCCAGGCGCGCGCGATAAACTCTAGCTATTTTCGACCGGCCGCTCGAGCCACGTGGCAACAGTTGACGGGTCAATCAATGGGCTCGGTGCGGTTGCCCTTGATGGGCCCAAATGGCCCGATTGGATCCGAAAGCTTGTTCGAGGGTGCAGGTTCCGAAAGGTGAATATGATCTCTTCAGTTGCAACAGGAGGACACAATTGCGCATACCCCACGTCTGACCCAGCCCTCCGCCACCTCAAAAAGCTAAGATGGCCGTCGGAAAAAAAAAACTTGAATAGTAAATTTCGCTAATTGTTAAAAAAAAAAATTGAATGCCTTAGGTACAATAATATTTCATACAGACGATGCGGAAGATATTATAAGGGTAATGACATAAATAGTCCCTAAAATTTGGTCCAATGTATAATGTGATTCAAAAAAATTAAATTTGTTCAATGTAGTCCTTAAACTTAAGCTAAATGTGCAATGTCACCCTGTAAAGTTTTATTTTGTTCAATATGATCCCTAAATTTTTTGTGCATATTCAATTTAGTCCATGAACCGTATGAAATCATAAGTACAAGGATCACAGTGAATAAATTATAAATCCAGGGATGACGCTGTAAATTGGGGTAAAGTCCGAGGACCACTTCAGAGTCCATATCGTATATTAAGCCGGGGATCATTTATGACCGTCGTTATCCGCCCCCATCGATTATGGGGACCGCTCCCGCTGTATCCGACGACCGCGGTTGACGGACGCACGGCTAGCGCACACGTCGCAGCTCCCCTCCCCCCGGTCACGTGCCAGGGCTACTTTTGCTGGTCTAGTCACATGCTTTGGCCGATTTCAAAAGGGCAATTTCCTTTCATTGCGATCGACGTCAAATAAGAGAGGCTCTTCGCAATACGTGGGTCGCCTCACGACCACGTCTTTAATTATTTAATCGAACCCCGGCCTAAAAAAAAAGTCAAATAATAATAATAATAATAATAATAATAATATAAAGAAATGTAAAAAGGGGACAACATCGGGCCTTAAATACACGGTCCGGATTCACCGCCATCGATGGCCCTTTTTTTCCCCCCTCGGGAGCATCCCCGGGGGGGACACGTGTCGCCCTCCCTTTTCTCCACTCCTTTCACCTCCCTCTCTTTCCCCCCCGCCCCCACCAGTTTCCCCCACTAAAACAAAACAAAACAAATAAATAATAATAATAATAATGAGTGGGAGTATATTCTTCTTCACTCATACCCGATATAGCCATGATAAATATAGATAAATTAAATTAAATTATGTGGGAGGCATATTTTGGGGATGGACCCACGGACGAATCTCTGTGATCACCATATATATTCAAATTCAATGTCCCCACCCGCACCCAATAAAGCAAAGCGCGCGCATCATGCGTCATGGACGAAAAGGCAAAAAATCCTCTTCGCCTTACCACAAATCCAACGCACGACGCACGAGCCCCACCGGGTCCGGTTCGACCTTTTCGAAAAAAAAAAAAAACCACTTCTCATGACACGGCGGCATCGCCTAATCGCGCATTACCCCTCCATTTCTTCCCCCATGCCTTGGATTATGGAATTATGAAGGATTCGATCGGGCGGATGGCGATTTCGGTAGATTTAATCTTACGCAATGCGAGAAAAGGACCGGATGCTTTTGTCCCCACAGCCTCCTCTTTTTCATTTTATTTTATTATCTCTTTTTTTTTTTGTGGGGACAAGATAATACCGATGGATTTGCTTTGCCTACTTTCTTCTGGCGGGTGGTGATTGGCTGGCTGCTGCGGTGGGGGCCCCCCCGACACGCGTCCCGTCGTTGCCCGAAGGCAGGTGAGGGCCGCCCCACCCCCGGGCCCGCCGGCGGGCCCCGCCTGATCGCCTGTTCCCTTTTCCCTCTCGTCACCTTCGATCCCCACGCCCGGCGAAAGGGGGCTGCCCCGCGCAGCTGTTCCTCTCCCTCGCCCGCTCGCTCGGCCCTCCCCAAACAAGTCAAAAGCCATCGTTTTGCTGACGTTTAAATAGATCCGTTGCTGAAAGGCATGCGGCCTTGCTAGTAAAGAAATTGAGATAGTGGGAATATTAATATCATTGGTTCGAGGTTCGGCTCTCGTGCTTTGCAAGAAGCTGAGCAAAAAGTCAAAGAATTTAAAGAGGGATGAATCGAATTGGGTTTAGATCAGACCGAACATGTTCCGATCCAAATTGATCCATTTAATCCGTTTTGACTCATTTATATCCAATACAAAGTTCACGACCCATAAATCCAAAGCACGAAGTGAGCGAGCGCGAGATTGAGTGAGAGTGAAAAGAGAGTCGTATAAGTGGGTTGGGTCTAATTTAGTTGTGAACCCACTTAACACAATATAACCCATTTATCATCGATAATAACCTATAATTCATTATATATAAGTTAAGTAATACGGTTCTTAAGATAACCCGATTTTCGACGGTGAGACTCCGCAACGTCTCGTGAGAATGCATTGCGTCGATCGGACCGGTCGATCTCTCGACGAGATTTGCTGTGCGGATATCTCTTCATCGGGTCGGATTGAATCGTAATTACTCCGCGTTAGGTAAGAGAGAGAGAGAGAGAGGTCATGGGCATCGGGCATGCTCGTCGCAGAGGGTCGATGGAGGATGGCCTACAGCAGTCCTGATCGGCCGTTAAAGAGGTTGGGTTTGTCCCCAAGAGGCTTTGAACGGACGTTTTCTTTCCCATTTTCGTCCACCGTTTTTTCTCTTTTTTTTTGTTTGTTTTTCTTTTGTTCGCCACCTCTATTTTTTTTTAAATATTTTTTCTGAAAAAAAAAGTAGTTTATCTGTAGTTTTCCTAGTGATCCTCTTTCCTCAAGTATATGCCTCCCCAAAAAAGTTAATATTACGAACAATTCTAAACCAGTACGTCTGTGATAAATTTACCCCAAAACCAATTTTTCAATCATCGAAAACCTCAAACTGGTACACCAGTGATAAATTTTCCTCCCATTAGTTTCCGTTAAATTTTATCGTTAAATTGTTGAATTTGATGACAAATTCCGCGTTCTGTATCAGTTTGGGGTTTTACCATCCGTTTGTCACAAGTGTACCGCTTTGTGTTTTATTTATGTATTAATTAAATTTAACGGAAACTAACAAATGGTAAATTTGTCACAAGTGTACCAGTTTGGGTATTTTGGTGATTAAAAAATTAATTTAATTTAAATTTGCCATAAATATACCAGTTTTGAATTTTTTACGATCGAAAAATTAATTTGGGGTAAATTTATCATAGATATATTGATTTATAATTTTTTATGATATTAACCTAAAAGAAAAAACAGGGTTGATGCATTTATCGGATTGAGTATACCATAATTGGTTCTTGGGCCACCCGAAAGTCAATCATCAAAGCTTTGGCAAATTTCGCCTGCAGTTTTGACGTTACTACCACTTTGACAAATTAGCACCATCCATTAATTTGTTTAACTGAGCAAATCAGAGAGAGAGAGAGAGAGAGAGAGAGAGAGAGAGGTTGTCGTTTATATTCAGATTGAGACTGAGTTATGATTCAACATCAATAACTTAGACTAGTCGAAACAATATGTTCTAACGTTTTTCATCGCTCTAAGTATCGATTTTAGACGTTCAACACTTCTTTTTATGTGAACCGACGATCAAATGCAACTGCAAGTAATGCAATGATACAGGTCTAGCGATTGAACTGGGTTTTGAATATCAGTACCAAATTGAGAATTCACTTTACTGCAAAATAATAGATAAAAAAAATTAGGTTTCGAGCCACTAAAGGGGGTTCTTCAATGAGCGATTCAATAGCCAAATTGAAGTGGACACATGAAGAAAGCCCTTAAGCTTTCCTAACATTCAACGTCACTCCAAGTACACAAGTTCCTCGATTCTTGCTTCGAACTATGGTTATGCTTATTCTTGCTTATGAAAGAACATCGTTTTCCTCGAAGAGGATCCACCCAACTTACTAACCCCCACCGAATTAGTAAAATTTAATGCGTAATTGATCGTTCCTTTTCTTGCTATTTACAAGGGAAATTATTGACCAAAAAGAGAGATATAAGAAGAAAGAAAATAGAAGGAAAATAATACAAGGGGATAAGATGGAAAAGATAATATTCGTGGTAAGGCAACTAAAAGCCACCTCCCAAGAGGGAAAAAGGATAAGGCGGCGACGGCGGACCGGCCTCTCCTCCGGCCACCGCCATTTCCGCAAAGTACCCGAATTGATTGTTCATCGTTCCGCCGTATCCACTCACGTCGGTGTAGGGCGGCGAGAGGGCCATGTGCCGGCCGATCTCACCATCGATTGAAGCTGAAGGCGAGGAAGCCGGAACCGCGGCGAAGTCGTAGAAGCGGTTGATGTCCGGATTGCCCTCGACCTCGGGCGAGGAGATGACCCCGAAGTTGGCACCCTCGTCGTCGTCCTCGCTCTTGATCGAGCTCGAGACCGCCATGCTCGAGGAGGAGGAGGACACCGCGGAGGACGAGATCATGAGCCGCCGCCTCTTCTCGCCGCCGCTCGCCACCGCCAATTGCTTGTTCCTGTCCCTTTCCACCATCATCCGGGGAAGCAGCTCCGGGTCTTCGATGACCTTGTAGAGGAAGGCCATCATCTGCTGAGGGCGCCGCTCGGTCGCCTCCAGCCGCTTGCTCATGCCCTGAAGCTCCTCCTCGAGGGCTCTCTGCTCTTGCCTCAGCCTCGCTATCTCACCGACAAGCTCCTCCTCGTCCATGTCGGCGTCGCCGCCCCCCTTCGACTGCGAGTAGGCGCCGCCCTTGTTGTGCTTCCTCCGCACGATGTTCCTCAGCAGATGCTTCTGGCCGCGGAGGAACCACTGGTTCGCGAACTCCCATCGGTCCGCATCCACCTTCCTGAAACCCTAGTCAAGATACAATCACATAACGAAATCAGTCCCTCCACTGCATAATTCGCAGCTTCTGAGCTAATAATTTCCTCGAGACCCATCGACCCCCTAATCAAGCTACTTCAACAAGAATCAACACACTCTTCAAATACATGTTCATATCCACCCAACAGGCGTTTCCCCGCAACTTCATATGAAGGCATACATGTACGCTCGATCGACATACAAGAATCGAGCGACGGCGAGGCGGCTTGCTTACATAGGTGTTAAGCTGGCGGACGAAGCTGGAGAAGTTGTTGTGCTTGAAGTAGGCGGGCAAGAGGCGCTGGGAGAAGTCCAGAGGGTCGAGGACGATGAAGCTGTTGTTGGCCTTGCCCCAGGAGATGAGGTGGTCCGTCGCCGGGTCGCTGACCATCTGGTAGGTCTTCATGACGAACGGCGCGACGGCGTCGCCGTTGGCGGCCGCCGCCGCCTCCGTCCCATGCACGCCAGTATACATTACTCGGAGAGACCCTGCCACGCTCCCTCACTGTCTGTCTGCTTTAGCTCTTCTTGTTGGGGGAAACTCTGGTGAAGTTTCTCTGAAATGGGGTTTGAGGAGGAGAAGGAGAGAGTGCTTTCTTCTTGGGGTTGAGAGAGAATTGTAAAAAGCTGAGCTAACTTTTTTGTTGGCCAATGTTAAATTCAAAGGACGAGATAGACTTTAAGTGTGTGTATATAATGAAGATAAAATAGGCAATGAGATGGGGGACTCACCTAGCACGAGCACACCCAGAGGGCTTATAGCTTATGGCTATCGTGGCACATTTTGGGGAGGAGGTGGGGCCTACAAGACTAGGCCACTAGGGTGGGCCCCACCCTCTCTCGTCATCTTACAGGTCAGGGTCAGAGCCCCCCAAAAGGCCTTATAGATATTTAGTATTTACAGGAGCAGGTAGTTCTTCCCACGCGCGGGGACGAGAGTCGTTGATCTCAATCGTCATGGTCGCTCCGGAGGGAAAAAAAGAAACCGAGGGCGGTGCTTAGAGGATTGGAAAATCATGTGGGGTTATGGTTACTTTTTAGTATTTAAACTTTGTTATAGATTTAAGCATCTTCTGCAAATTTTAATACTTCATGGTGTTGCAGGCCAAATGAAGTATGCCTCGGGATGACTTTTGTAGATGGAAATGAAACGGTTATGGATACGTGCCGGTCGAAGCGCGAGATTATCACTTTTTTTTTACTTTTATTACTATTAGAGATTTGAAAGATCGGTCGTGCTAAGGAAAAGTCACACATTTTGTTATTATCATTTGTTCCGTTTCAACACTTGCCACACTTCGATATCATTTGCCGACGATGATTTTTGCTTCGTCGGCCGACTCTCTAACCCCTGACGAGGGCTTTAGTCGATAACGCTTGTCCATTATGTTTTTCGACCTTCTTGACCAACAACTTGTATCTCTTCGATCGCCTTGTTCACCGCTATCTTGATCGGACTTTTTTCTTGGGGACCAAACCCTAACCGTCAATTGTAACTTGAAAGTTGATCATTTTTTTGGGTATCAACACTTCCACTTACTAAAGTCAGCCTTTACGTTGTAGGTTCTATGCAATACAAGATCTTAATCATACCCTTATATTAGTTTATTTCTTAGGTTTTAATATGTAAGTTTCACGAAAGTTACAAGTCGCGTGTCAAAGTGACTCCTCGGAACTTCTGTGCCTCATCATCCCTTCCATTAAAAAACACAACACGAGTCGATGATGAGGGTGGAGCTTCCTATTTCCGGCGAGGTGGTTGTGTCTTTGCAGTTAAGAAATACGGACGGTGTCGCCCCCGGCTACAGCTTAACGTACGTGGAGATCGATCAGTAGCTGCGACCAAGCAACTCCCACGTTATCATTCCAAGAACTGAAATTTGAATATGATAATCCAATGCAAACGGCAAAACCCTAGAATTCTTGGGTGGAGAAAGATGGGTGCTTGTGTGTGAGTGGTGAAGGTCCTATGTGGTTGCTTAAAGTTTTCTATATAGGGGCATTGTTTTTTTTTGGTAAGGATATATAGGGGCACTGTTGATCCACATATATTCCATTTTTAGTGGGCATCTTGTTGGACCGTGGATATGATAACTTTAGTATAGGAAATTATTTGTGTACTTGGAAGTTAGGTGGTTGGAAGAAGATATCCTTTTAGTTTAGTATATGTTGGACGGTAAGCTAATTAAAGGGAAAAGGGGAGTACTTTTGATGTGTGCACTCCATCTTGTTAGCACTAAATATAGTAATTGATTTCGTCGTCGTGACGATATCATGCAAAGATAATGTCGAGTGTCGTCTCATGTACCCGTCCTGTGCTTTTAAACATTTGCGGGTATTTTCAAGTCGGGTATTTGTATCGAAGGTGTCGAGTTCGATTCCGTGCATCCTTTCGCCCATTTATTGGTTCCCTTCTTCATATGCCTTGGATTCGTATAATCCTCTTTGCACGGGCCTCGCACATGAGGATCTATGCATAAGACATTCGGTAGCAAATCGACCTTTGCTTGAGGGGAGTGTTAATGGGATTTAAAAGATATTCTGTGTTGCACGCTAATAGTTGAAGTAACTAGTTACGTATGTATTTTAAGTATTAGAAGAGCTAATATAATATATAGTATGAATATTATTATCTTGTAGGACGAGAGATTGCGTGGATGCATACTGAATAGGAGACAAATCGAATGCTTAACACAAACATATGTGCTTATTTACAAGCATGACTATAAAGAAAACAATTTTTTGATTAGGACAACTTTTTCACAACCAAACCAACGACGACCGACCCAATAGTCTGGCTCACATGTAAAAACACCTTCTTTTTTTTAATCTTTGGTTGCACAATATGATGTCACTTTCAGCGGACACTGAGCCAAAAATCTAAGCCTAAATAAGAAAAAGCCGATGACCCAAATTAAGTCACGACAATACACTGAACTCATGAAGCTCACACGATACAAGGCCCACAACAAGCTCGTCGATCACAAAAAGTCGTACGAATACAATCGGCCCACAAAACCGGTCAATGGAATGTCTGAAGAGCATTTAAAAATAGATTTTGCTTAAGTTTTAATGTTAAGTTCTAAGTAGTACGTACTTGGTCTTCAATTAGAAAAGCTTTCCGGTTATGTCTAGTAGACGTTTTACTATCTCTGCGCACGTCATCAATTTCCGTTGTGAAGTGCAATTTGGTCCTGAACTTTTAATTTGTTCAATATAGTCCCGAACTTTAACCTAATGTTCAATTTGGTCCCGAACTTTTGATTTGTTCAATGTGGTCCTTGAACTTTTAATATGTGTTCAATTTAGTCCACTGAACTATATGAAAATATTCAATATAGTCCCCGCACTTGAATTAATGGAAGGACTATATTGAACATTTTCAAATAGTTCAAGGACTAAATTGAACACATATTAAAAGTTCAAGGACCACATTGAATAAATCAAAAGTTCATGGACCAAATTGAACATTAGTTAAAGTTTAGGGACTACATTGAACAAATTAAAAGTTAAGGTACAAATCGCATCGGGCCAAAGCTGACTATGTCATTTTCCCAATTAGAAAAGCTTTCCGGTTATGTCTAGTAGACGTTTTACTATCTCTGCGCACGTCATCAATTTCCGTTGTGAAGTTTCTTGTTCAAGTTCGGCCATCGCCACCCTCCTCCGTCTGCCCTTTTTTTTTTTTTCCCCAATTTCCTAATTTTTCTAACACTAATTTCATTTCTTTTTTTAACATCCCTTATTTCTATGGGCCCCGATCGTGAAAAAAGGGAAAGTTGGTGGACGAAATTGCCCCATTATTTTCTTTTCCCGTTTTGCCTATATTTTAGAGCCCTTTTTTTTCCCATAATTTTCTTTTTTCCCCTTAGAGGTAAAGGTGGAGTTTTGCACGCGCCCGAGAGGCGCGCCTGCGTAAGATTCGATTTTCGATAGTTGCCATTTTCGACTTTTGCTTTTTTGGACCAAAGGATGCTCGTGCGCTGGCTGCGCTAGACCATATCAACCCCGCACACGTGTCGCCGGCAAAACGTCGCCACGTGCGTGCGTAAATCTCTTTTTTTTTTTTTTGTTATCTCTTTTTTGGTAATTCGAATTAAATATATATATTTTTTATTTTTATTTTTGGAGTGAGCTACTGCTAGGGACGTGGGGAGCAATATTTGAACAACGCTCTCCACAATCCGTGGCTGTCTCCACGTGATAGGCCCTCCCCCCACAATATTTGTCGGCTATTTCATAGTTTTTTTTTTTTGGTCGATGGCTATTTTATAGTGAATGTCATGCTTGTGTAAACTCTTTGCTGCGAATATTTCCTCTTAGATTTTAGCTTTTATTTCATAGCATTTTTAATATTTAAGGTGCGGGCGAAGCGGGAGTTAGAATGTCAGCTTGGGTAACGCAGACACGAGCGAGAGAATCCAATGCCTCGAAAACCTAAAGAGTCCTCCCGCCCGCCTGCCTTCCGTTGAAATATCATAAACAGTTCCCATCGGCCAACAAGCATGCGGCCCTTCTGGTAAGGGATTGGAGGGATGGGGGCAGGAGAGTACCAAGTCCCGATAGGGGTGAGTATGGTCCGGGTTGGGCCGGTCTAGCATCTAACCCGGGAACCAACCCGCATAATGTCGGTCTCCAATTTTTGCGACCGCGAACCAACCTGTAGAGCTAGGACCGAGGACGGGACCAATCTTGTGGGTTCGGTCCAGCTCTAGGGTCAACTCGAGACCAACTGATTCTTTTTGTTTTTTGTTTTGCTTTTTGTATTCCTTGAAAGAATAAATACACTATTTGAAATTACATCTACAATGCAATATTGAGCAACCAAACCGTGAACACCAGTATAAATCAAACAAAACTCTAAGATAAGGCAACAACAGAAATCCCTACTTGCCAAAAAAAAAGAGATTTTTCTAATGAGCATAAAGCTCTCTGATAAGCATAAACCAGGAAGCAAAAGGGGAAATATAAATACCCAGCACAAATCGATAAATCATATGAGGAAAGCTCTCAGATCAAGTACAACCATTGAAAGTGGAAAATAAATACCCAGCACAAACCGACAATTCACACGAGCTTAAAGTTCTCAAATCAAGCATAGACTGGGAACTCATTAGCGGAGCTGTGTTCATGGGGCGAGGGAAGAGAGGTGAGTGAGCTGCGTTTGTGAGGCGGGCCAAGAGATGTGAGCGATGTCATCAGCTAAGTAGCTAAGCTGCGTTCATGAGGCGAGCGAACTTAGCTTGGCAAAGAGAGGCAACATTTTAGCTTGGCAAAGAGAGGCAACATTCAACCAAAACAAAAGAGGCAATTGGTTTTTAAATTTCTATTTTAAACGGCAAAAAAAGAGAGAGAGAGAGAGAGAAGAGGAGTGACAAAGAATATATATAGACAGGATTGGTTCGGGTTTCGAGGGTTCGAGGATCGAGGACCAAGGACCAGCCCAATCCTCTTGAGAACCGGACTAGGACCGGCCGGGTTAGGCCGGTCCAAGGTCAACCGTGGACCGCTGCTCACCCTTAGGTTCGGATTACGATTTTCGAGAGCACCGTATACACATATACATAGCAGAGATGAATGAGACAAAAAAAAAAAAAAGTTTCCGTTGGGTTGAGCGTCCTTTTCATGAAAATGTGGAATATAGCAAGGATATCTTAATAGGTGCATGAAG